CCAGCATTTCCTCTTACCTCCCCCCCCCCATGACAGCCAGAAAAACTCTGTCCCAGTTGTGCAGTGCTGGCCATCAAGTCTGTGGCTAGTTGTGCTCTGGGGCATCCACAAGGGTCCGGAGGAGCACCCCACATTCTGCAGTACATTCTACTTTCCCTTCTCCTGGAAGCCCCCATATCCTTTACCTTTTCCCTGCTGCTTTCTCTCCTTCCTGCCCACTAATCTAACTTTTATCTGCCCCATCTTCGCTTTATTTATTATTTACAGTTATGTTCTGCTTTTCTCCACAACTGGGACCCAAAGCTACTTACATCATTCTCCTCCATTTTATCTTTACAACAACCGTGCCAGGTAGGCTGACAGTATGTGATTGGCCCAAGGTCACCCAGCAAAATTGCAGAGTGTGGATTTGAACCTGGATCTCCCAGATCCTAATCTAAAATTCTGACCACTACTTCACACTGGGTTTTGTATGGCGATGGCCGTTGAACAGTAGTGAGCAACCAGGCCCGGCTGAATAATTCAAGTTTGCCTGGTGATTGCTGCTGGGCCTGGTACCAATGGGTCCTCCTTGAATAGGAAGGCCTTGCCAAATAGACCAAGTTTTTCCACTTGCTCAGCCCCACCCCATGACTGCTGATGACTTTAAAAGGAGTTTCGACCTGGAGGTGCTGCCTTTTTGACTTGGGAGACCTTGCCGTCTAAGGGTGAGGTTTTCTATCTGTGCAGCCCCACGCCCTAGCTGCCTGCCTGTCAAACAAACAAACTGGAAAGCTGGTACTGTTTTGTTAACTATTTGATATCTGCATTATAATAGGATGTTTGATATCTGTTAGCTGCCTTGGGTGTTCTTTTGAACAAAAAGGTTGAATATAAATAAATGAAAAAATAAAGTAAATGGAAAGACTGTAATAGACCTGGAAAGGGCCCTGCCCCTCCCCCTGCCTTATATTGACAAAAACAAAGGCTTGAAGGCTAGCTACACTGTTTTGGCTGCCTAGCAACAGCCACAGAGGGCATCTGTTTCTTAAAGCAACAGGCACTGCGTCTATTATATTGGGGTTTTCTAATCCCCCCGTGTGTGTATATTTAATATTTCAGATTTTTCTGCAAACCTGGGTTTTTTATCAGATTGGCAGAAATATCTATCTGGCCTATTTATGGCCACAAGCTCTAGATTTAAGTATCCACAGATGGGATCATTTTGAGAATTAGATATATTGATGCAACTTTACACTCTGGCCATGACTTCTCCTTTCATCTGATTCAGATTGGTTCTTTTTTCACACTTGGCAGCAGGCAATAAAAAGAAAAGACATTCAGTATTAAATTATTTCCTCCGCTTTATAAACTTTCAAAGAACTCACATTAATGTTAAGGATGAAATATGTTGTTAAAGAATTGGAAAAAGAGAAAAAATTCAAGAATGTAATAGAGTTTCAAGCACTGTGGGAAGTCAGAAGGGGGGGAGATATTTGGATAAAAGGATATGAAAAGTTTGTTATATGATGTAAAATTTTACTTATTATTATATCCTAATAAAATTGTTTTTTAAAAAAGTTATGTCATTAATACTCTACTTTAGTAAGCCACAGGTAGTGGCCCTTGTGAGGGCAAACAGGTGGAATACAAATTTTGTAAAATAAATAAATAAATAAAACAGGCACTTTAAGCTTCTGGGGGCAGGAATGAATATATGAACTCACTCTAATTTCAGTGTTACAATCTGCACGTAGAAAGATCTCATTTTGGTGTTATTTTGTAAACCAGTCTGAGAACACCACTGAAAATACTTCTATTGTTGGTTACTATCCTAAATGTACATTCCAGTATGAAGGTCCTCTGCTTTAAAAATCTGGTCTGTCACTCTCACAATTCTAATTAACATACCCACAACATGCAGCTGTTAACAGATTTCTCATGAGCCTCATGGCATGCCTGGTTTGCTTACCAAATCTATTCATGCAACCTAATAGTAATACATGATTATACGAGGTACTATCAGCCAGTAACTTACATTCAATCTATAGAAAGGGAATAGAAGTCAGTCCAACAAAATAACATTTCCAACAATTGTTGGTTGAAATTGTATTTCTCCCAGCCTTAAACTTTATTTTTGAAACAATATCCTCCAATTTACTAGTAAGTGATAACAATGTTCATGCACACTTATAATTCCCAAACTCTTACATTTTCATTCACAGAAAAACATATTCTTACAAATGCATCTAGCACCCTTCCTACTGTACAGATCAGCATTTCAGTTACGAATGCCCTCATTTAACCTCAGGTTTAAGCAGACACGCCAGAAAAACGCTGACATGGGTAATGAGGAAATTGTGATGTGATAGAGAAGAGGGCTGCTAGTACTGAGCCTGGAAAATTATGGACATCAATGCACTACCTCAGTGCGGGTTAAATAAGTAGGGCAAAACGGGGCCTTTTGGTGTAGTGGTTAAGTGCGCGGACTCTAATCTGGGAGACCCGGGTTTGATTACCCACTCCTCCACTCGCACCTGGCTGGATGACCTTGGGCAAGCCATAGTTCTGACAAGAGCTGTCCTTGAAAGGGCAGTTCTTGAAAGAGCGCTCTCAGCCCCACCTACCTCACAGGGTGTCTGTCGTGGGGAGGGGAAGGGAAAGGAGTTTGTAAGCCGCTCTGAGACTCCAAGTGAAGGGCAGGGTATAAATTCAATCTCCTCCTCTCCTCCTTCTCCTCCACTTGTTGGCCTTTTTCTACATATTTTCTTGGGTTTGTACAAAAAATTCCCATCTACACATAGCTCCAGGACTCTGATTTTTTTTAAAAATTCCCATTCTGGGGCCATTGTTCAGAATTAAATATATGATATAGCAAGTAACAGTGACTGTCATTGCCACAACAAAAAGTCAACCATAACTTCTCTTAAGAGCAGTTTCTGTCAGCGCTCTCTCAGCCCCACCTACCTCACAGGGTGTCTGTTGTGAGAAGGGGAAGGGAAAGGAGTTTGTAAGCCACTCTGAGACTCCCTTGGGTAGTGAAGGGCAGGGTATAAATCCAACCTCTTCTTATAAAACGGCCTTTTTTCAAGCAGCTGCAACTCTAGGAAACAGGCACTGCAAACTGCCAGGACATTTCTTCCTAGAAATATATCATTCCCTCTACTGGTAACTTGTGTGTCTGTGCCAAGGACAATCTACCTGCTACCAAAGAGATGAAAAGGCAATAGGCAATATCAACTGTGGTATAAAGCCTGACTGAACAAATGCTTTAACAAAAATAAAATCTATCTTTCTACTGTCAAAGAGACCTTGTCCAGAGTCAAATATATACCAAACTTCTCTTGACACAGGACTGTACCACACCAACTCTAAAACCCTTTCTGGTTGTGAAAGAGTACATGCTAGAATGTCCTGGTTCCAAAGACACTTCCGAATCAGCCAGGGCTTTCCCCATAACCAGACAACAAGAGGCTCACCACATCGCTGTTTCAGAAGATACAGAATGAACTATACGTGTGCCAGCATCCCATGTGCAAACTGGTTGTACTAAGGAAGTTAATGCTTTAAAAAACGCATCACCATTACTGGACCACACCAATCCAGTTTTTGATCAGTCAGACTCCCACAGGGGAAAATTAAACTTCGTTATCCTTTGGTTATAAGCTTTCTTGTTTCAGGGATAGGCATAACACTGCCCTGACTCCCCTGGCCAACTCAATGGTCAGGAATTAGCATGCCAAGAAATGAAGATAGGAGTAACCTTTCCATGGGAAAAACTGGTTACATCTCCTTCCTTTGCTCCAAACAGCCAAGTTCCTTATTTGGTGACCTCTCTGGAATTTGAGTGAGCTGCATAACCTCGACAAGGGAATGAAACGCTCAGTGCACAAAAGAAGCTATTGCTGCCCTTGTTCTGACAATGAGGGTGAACAAATTCCCAACAAAGGGCCATTTTCCCCAAAAACAAGCTAAGGTTGCACACGTATCCAAATAGGCAAATTCTAGTTTGAGACCAGCCACTAGAAAAAAAAATTTAAAACATATTTTTCTTCATGTTATTGATTTAAACCTCATTTCTATTAAGTTTTTTAAAAAATGTGTAAACTGATATCTGAATGTAACCTCTTAAAACAGAATCCACAACATCCATACACCTATTGTGCTGAAGTCTGATTCTGTATGTAAATGAATGAACTAGGATTTTTTTTTAAATGTGTCTTTTTCAGGTTAAGCATTATAAGTGCAACATAACAGGTCGTGTGTTTATTGTGAATTTTTTTGTGCGGGAAGAAACATTCTTCTGCCCCAGGGCCTTTGTTTCTGGAAAGCCAGGGGTGCTTCATCTTCAAGATGATAACCCTGCTTAGAGCCCTTACATATGTCTAGAATGCGAACATAAAAACATGGTTGCACTTACCTGTAACTGTTGTTCATTGAGTGGTCTTCTATGCAGGCACACATGGGGAATGGGCGTGTGCAGGCCAGCCGTGGAGAAAAAGTCTACATATTTCTAGCTCTTTCAAGGCTCCCAAGCGCTTGCCCTCTCCTCCAACACAAGCTGGCATTTCCCACCCTCCTTCCCTCAGTCCTCCCTTCGCTGCCATGGATA